GTGGTTGAGCGTTGACCCAAGAGGTCACCGGTTTGATTTCTGGTCAGGGCACATACCCAGGTTGTGGGCCCAATCCCCAGTGGGGGGCAAGCAGGAGGCGGCCAATCAATGTTCTCTCTCATCAATGTTTCTATCTCTCTCACCTTCTCCCTTCTACTCTCTTAAAATCAATAAAGAAAAAATTTTTAAAAAAATAGATAATAAGACATAATTTTGCTAAACCCAGCTCCACTCTTGAAATTATGCCCAATACTTGGGGTTACTCTGATTAGAGCTTACCAAATATCTTGGTAGCCACATTCAATCCCCCTTCGCCAAATTGTAATTAGTAGGTACTCATAAAATAATAGTGACTGACAGGAAGTTTGTTCATGTGGAGTGTGTTTCATTCCTGTACACACAGTTATCACTAGTAGTGGCAGCTGCTGGTACTATATTTTTCCATCTCGGTTAACTGGAAAAAAATAATCAAACTTAAAGAGGCAACAAAAGTATTGAGTAGGAAACGCTCCATCACCAGAGAGAAAAGCAACCAATGCAGAAGAACAGTAAAGAGAAAGAGATTGGCCTAACCCTTCTCCAATGGTTTATTCCAGTGAACAGTTTCCTTACATTTGATTTGCCCTATTGAGAGGGACAGAGTCGATGTATTCTTTCATTCAGCAAGTAGCCAGGAAGTGCCTGACATATTTATAGCATAGGACAGACTGAGAATATCTTCTCCACACCCACACCCGCCTTAGTTAACATCTACTAAATGTTCAGAATTCTGCGTAATTATCATTTAATCTGCTAAAGTTTAAGAGTAGGCCATAGTATGTGTCCCCATGATGCTGGGAGTTTTGTACTTTGCAGAATGTACTTACACCTGTGTTTTTGTGGTGATTATGTGCTTAAGGCCTACCTTTTCTGTAATCTAGGTAAAAGTAGGGACTTTGTTTTTGCTACAAGAATGTCATGATCATACCTGTATTTTTATTTATGTATTTATTTTTAAAGTTTTATTTATTGATTGGAGAGAGCGAGAGAAACATTGATTTGTTGTTCCACTTATTTATGCATTCCCTGGTTGCTTGTGTGTGCCCCGAACAGGGATCAAATATACAATGTTGGTGTATCAGGATGATGCTCTAACCAACTGAGCTACCCAGCTAGGGCCTTCGAATCTGTATTTTTATTTATTTATTTTTATTATTTTTTCCAACCTTAATAATTAAAAAAAATTTTTAAATTACAGTTGACATATTATATTCATTTTAGGTATACAGATCTGTATTTTTAAAGGATCATTCTTTTCAAAGCGTAAGGCCTAGAGAGAATCTAGTAAAGGCTGTGATCCTTTTGTGCATATATATATTTTTTTATCCTCACTCAAGGACATTTTTGCATTTATCTTCAGATAGAGAGGGAGGGAGAGAGGGAGGAAGAGAGAGAGAAAGATCTATGTGAGAGGGAGAAAGATCTGTGAGAGAGACACAACGAGTGGTTGCCACCCACACGACCCCAACTGGGGCCGGGGACAAACTGCAACCGAGGTACATGCCCTTAGCAGGAACTGAACCAGGGACTCTCGGGTCCACGGGCCAACGCTCTAACCACTGAGCAACCGGCCAGGGCCTTTTGCTCATATTTTATCTTGCATGTTGAAACCTAGATAGGCAGTGCTTGCTGATGGTAAAGATAAAACCTTGATAGGCCTGGGACAGGACTACCCACCATGACATGCCCAGTTAGGAATTTATCATCAGATAACCCTGTGAAGTTACCTTCAGTTAGATTTATTACACAGCCTGTTTGTTCACACTTCCCATGGTGTAGGTGACATACTCTGCTTTGTTCATTGTTTCTCCAAGCAAAGACCATCTGCACCATAATCCCATTAGATGATTGTTGTTACAGTTTTATTTCTTTTTCTTTATCCTCACCCGAGGACATTTTTGCATTTCTCTTCAGACAGAGCAGGAGGGAGGGAGGGAGGAAGAAAGAGAGAGAGAAAAATCAATGTGAGAGAGACACATCGACTGGCTACCGCCTACATGACCCCAACGGGTACGTGCCCTTAGCAGGAACCAAACCCCCGGTCTCTCTGGTCTGCGGGCCGATGCTCTAATCGCTGAGCCAAACCCGCCAGGGTGTTCCTGTTTTATTTCTTTAATTTAGAATATATTTATAATCATCCAAACCTATGCTCCAAACCTACTGACTCAGTCTATGGTCCTTGGCCCAAATCTGCTCGTTTTTGTTAATGCTCACCTGAGGGTATTTTTCCATTAATTTTTAGATAGAGTGTAAGGGAGGGAGGAAGAGAGAGAGAGAGAAAAAAAAAAATTACTATGAGAGAGACACATTGATTGGTTGTCTCTCTGCATGACCCCAACTGGGGCAGGAATTGAACCTGCAACCCAGGTGCAACCCAACGTGCCCTTGACTGGGAATCAAACCCTAACCCTGCGGGCCAATGCTCTAACTGCTGAGCCCAACTGGTCAGGGCCTAAATCTGCTCTTAAAACATCTCCTAGGGGACTGACTGGTAATGTTCTGTTTCTTATCAAATGCAGGTCACATAGGGTCTTTACTTGTGTAAAATTCATTGAGCTCTACCTCTAGGATATGTATGCATTTCTGTATGTATATAATTTTCACCAAAAAGTTAACCAGGAAAATCTCCCTGGTTTATTCTAATGCTGGAGAAGCCCTGTCTTACCCCTCTGCCGAAGAATTATAAGGCCCTAGAGGACAGTGAAGCCATCTGTTTTGTTTTTATATTCCCAGCATCTGTTTTAGTGTCTGTGACATAGAACACACTTAATAAGTAATTGGCAAATAAATGAATGAATGAAGTGGCTTATGGGGTTCCTTCCTCCCTCACTCTCTTCCAAACATTATTTGTTCCATGCCCCTCCTGGAGCGCATGATACCTCATGCCTCAAAGTTACACCTCTGATGCCCCCTCTGAATAAACCTGTGAGATGCCACCTGGCTTCCTCCTTACCACATGTTGGGTGTAACTGATCCAGGGCACCAGCCTGACAAGGGCAGGAGAAAGGAAGCAGGTGGAGAATGTTCTGTCCTCAGTACCAGCACTTCTGCCCTGCCTGGGTCTGAGCCACTTGGCTCAGGCCTTCCTGGGCATGCCTGGGGATCAAACTGGAGAAAGTGTGTCCTTGGAAATTCTACATTGCTAAAGCTTCTCTTTGCATCTCTGATGTAAATTGCTACCTAAACTACTCAGCTTAAATTATGTAGGACTTTGAAAACTATATATTTGAATATTTAGGAGTAGCAATGAAGATTTTTTTTTAAAAGCAAATTTACAGTAGAAAGTGAAAGACACTCGGTGAAATATTAGCCTGTCATTTATTCAGTCACAAATAATTACTAAGAGTTTCCTAGTGATACAGTGGTGAACAAGTTATTTTCCTTAATGGAGATTATAGAGCAGTGGGGGGAGATGGACAATCAAATAACAATATCTAACTTTTTCATAGTACTTATGATGTGCTGGGCACTTTACAGATATATTCATTTCATCGTTGTAACAACTCAGTAATGTTCTATTATTGTTCCTATTGTAGAGTTAAAACAGAGTCAGGCCCTGACCGGTTTGGCTCAGCGGTTGGATCGTCGGCCTGCGGTCCAGAAAGACCCGGGTTCGGTTCCCACTAAGGGCATGTACCTCAGTTGCAGTTTGTCCCTGGCCCTGGTTGGTCGTGTGGGTGGCAGCCACTCAATGTGTCCCTTTCACGTCGATGTTTCTCTCTCTCTCTCTTTAAAGAAAGAAATAAATTTAAAAAAACAGAGTCAGGAGGTAAAGGATAGGAAGCAGGGAATCTAGTCCTAAGGGTCAGGAAGTTTTCTCTATTTTTGTGTGTGTGTGTGGTATGTGCCCCTAGCGGGAACCGAACCCGGGACTCTCTGGTCCGCAGGCCAACGCTCAACCGCTGAGCCAAAATGGCCAGGGCTTTTTTTTTTTTAATTAATTTATTTTTTTTGTTTTCTCTAAATATAAGAGATTGAAGCAGAGATCTGAGGATTGAATTGGAATCCAGTAGCCAAAGAGATCTGGAGGAGAGAATTTCAGGCAACAGAAACAGCAGATGCAAAGGGATAATCATTTGAGGAACTGAAAGTCTGCTTTGTAGAGGGAGCTCAGGGAATCCAGGATGAGACAGAAAAGGTAGGCAGGGACCAGATCACCTACGCTTCTTTCTATCTTCACATATAAGGTCAGGGAAGCAGAGATAATGAAAAGATTTAGGGTTTAGCCCTAGCTTTGCTCTTAATAACCTTAGTTTGCTCCCCTTGTTTGAAATGGTGAACTAGTAATAACAATGTAATAAGAATAATGACCTCTTTTGAGCATTTACTGTGACATTGTACCAGGAACTTTCATGTAGATTCAAAAAACTGAGACCTCCGGGATTACATACCTTTGGGGAGGTCCTTAGCACCCAAATTTGTCCTGCCTACTGAGCATGCCCAGTCCTGTTTCATATGGCCAGGTGTGTTAACTTTAGTAATGCTTTTCTCTGTGTTGGTTAGTGGCTAAATTGAAATTTGAACCCAGTTTTGAATTCCAAGCTTATGGTGTTGACCACCATTTAATGCTGATGCTACCCTACCTTCTAAAAACGCAGGCAACTCCTTAACTCCATAAATAGCATGACATTGTTTCTTAAAGTCCTTTCTGGGTGAGGAAAGTGCTTTTTATAGCTGAGACTGCTTCTGTTTACTTGGTCTCTTCCAGCACTAGTTAATCCTGGCTACAGCTGTGTCCTTCACTGTCCTTACACTGTATTCCTAGGTTTCCTCCCTGCAAAAGACAACTCCACGAGACCACGTGGTGCTTGTGTCTGTGCCGCCAAAGAAATTTCACTCCTCTCCCTCTCCAAATCAGCCTACCTTTCTAAAAATAATCGTTCTCCTCCCTCTCCGCAGGCCTGTAAGTAGTTTGGTCACTTAACTAAACACAGGCACACTCACAAAGGTTTCAAGGAGGAGGGAACAACGTGAATGACCTTGCAAAGGTATCTAGTCCACTGGGGGCAGGATTAGCAAGCCTGAAACCACTACAAACATTTAACGTCTTTTCTGTGCATTCCTCCGGAAGCTGCTCTCTCCTCTTGCACCCGTCTCGCCGTCTCCTCTCGGCTCGCTCAGACATACAAAGCCCAACCCGCCCATCTCTTCTTTGCAAACCCAGAGAACTTCAGTCCCCATGTTGAAAGTCGTCGGTGGCGGTGGCGGTCAGGACTGGGCATGCTCAGTAGCGGGGACAGGTCTGGGAAGCGAGGAAGCAGCGTTTGAAGTCCAGCAGCCGGGGGATCTGGAGGAGGCGGGCTGCAGGGGCCCCAGCTGGGGGTGCGCTGGGATCCTGGATCCCGCGCCCAGGGTGGGCATGCTTCAGGCGGGCGCAGCAGAGCCCGCGCGAGAGGGACAGGACGTGGAGGAGCTGGGGGAGCGGGTGGGAGGAGGGGAGGAGCGCCCGGCTCACCATCCCCCGGCGCCGACTCTGCAGCTGCCGAATCGGAAGCCGCAGGGAGGATCCGGGGAAATAAAGACGTCCGAGAATGACCTCCAGCGAGGCCGCCTGAGGCGGGGCGCGCGCTCTGCCCCACCAGCCTCCGGCATGGGCGACCACAGCCGACAGCCAGAGTGCTCGGCCCCAGACGTCCCGGGGGCCCCCGCAGGCACCGGAGCCGCTGCGGTGAACGGGCTGCTGCACAACGGCTTCCACCCACCGCCGGTCCAGCAGCCGCCGCGCCTCTGCAGCCGGGGCCCTGCGGGCGGCAGCGACGCTGCGCCCCCGCGCCTGCCGCTCCTGCCGGAGCTCCAGCCCCAGCCGCCGCCCCCTCTACACGACTCCCCGGCCAAGAAATGCCGCCTACGGAGGAAGATGGACTCGGGGAAGAAGAACAGGCCGCGTAAGTCTGCTGGGAGGGGAGCGCAGCAGGATCGAGGCAGGCGCAGCAGTGCGCGGGGCCAGGCACCCGGGGACAGCGGGGCGCGCCCCGTGCGCTCCAGCGCTCGCCGTCGGGGATACTGCTCCGAGGGGATGCCCGCAACTGATTTTTTCTCAAGGGGCGCTAAGTACTAAAGCTCTCTTTCTGAGCCCGAGCCTTTGCCTTTGCCTACTTCCATCTGTAGAACGGGCCGATTGAACACCGTGCCTCAAATGCTCCTTAGGTCACGGCTCTATGGAAGGCAAAGGCACTGCCTGGCTTTCTAATTTGTCGGTGGAAAATGCATGTGTGTGAACATTTGATGGGGTCCAGGGGTAAGGGTAGAGCTAGAGGGACTGTCGGAGCTCCCCCTTCTCTTTTCAGAGCTCATCTTTCTGGGGTTGGCGCTCCAGCAGCCAGCTTGCCCTTTGAATTGTAAAGTAGCAGCCAGCACTTTGGGTCTATTGGTGAGCTCAAGATCTGGAGGCGTGGAGTTTGACAACCTCCAAATCACAGCCTATTAAACGCTGTTTCTTCGCAGCCAATGAAAGGACCTGTTGGGCCAGACACACCCACTGATACCATGTGGGCCGGAACTATGTGGACCAATGAGAATTGGAGGTGGATTTTTTTTTTTTTTGGAAGGGGGAGTGTAGGGAGGTAGAGTTGAGGGTTTCTAATGCTAATTAATGCACAGTGCAGAAAGCTGAAATGTATTATTTCACAATCTAAAGCTTGTAGATGTAATGTTAGTTTGCAAAGTACCTTCCCAGCAGGGCGTTCTGGAATGTAAATTTGTAGGTCGAGTTTAGAACTGGTTTTTCCTTTTTGAGCCGAACCTCATTCAACTAGTTACCTCTTTCTGGGTGTCCTTAATGAAGCTTAAAAATGGCAAAAAGCAAAGTAAGTAGAATGTATGCTAATAAGTGATTGCATTAAAACATGCACCTTTTGCATTAGGTTATTCTTTTGATGCAGGGAAATGGTTAGATAAGTTTTGGATTTGTCTGTAAAAGTGTGATATTTGGCAAACAGCTTCAGTTTCTTCTGTTTCTCTCTGTTTATCAATTTACACTCTTAGCTTTTCTGCATTCAATTAAAGTCTCTGAGACTTTGGAAAGTATTTTATCCTGATTGGGGAATGTGGTGACTGATACTGTGTTTTGTAGGTCTGAAATGTTGAAAGTTGAGATCTTGTCTGGAATTTTGAAGCTACACAGCAGATTTGATTATGGTTGTAAGGAAGACATCTAGCACCTGAATTTGTATTTACTTGTGTTATTGAGACTTTTTAGAAAATGACTTTATTTATGTATTTAATATTGATTACTTTCGATTTGTTAACTTGTTTTACTTTTTTTGAAACCACATTTTAGTTGTTTCTGTGATCCATATTAGCCAAATTGTATGAGAGTTTGCAATATAAATAGCTAAAATATAATGAAAGGGTGTATTGCGTTTTTGTTTAGTATTGCTAGCTTGAATGGTCCATGTTTAATTAAGGGTATAACATGTCTTAAAATAATTTTGAGGAATTGAAAATGCACTTTTTGTTGTTGAAAGTATTACAGAAGTCCCTCTTTTTTCCCCATCAACCCTTTCCTTTCCACTCCCACCCCTCTCCTCCTGCCTTCCCCAGCCTAATGTTCACGTGGATTGGTTGTGCATATATGCATATAAGTTCTTTGGTTTATCTCTTCCCAATCCTCTCACCCCCCATCCCTCTGAGGTTTTCAGTCTGTTCCCTACTACCATGATTCTGGATCTCTTGGTTGACAGTTTATTTTGTTCATTATGTTCCATAAATAAGTGAGATCATGTGGTACTTGTCTTTCTCTGATTCGCTTATTTCACTTAGCATAATACTCTCCAGATCCCTCATGTCCTCTCAAAGGGTAAGAGTTCTCTTTCTTACAGCTGCATAGTATTCCATTGTGTAAATGTACCACATATTTTTTATCCACTCATCTACTGTGAAAATGCATTCTTAATAATGGCTTGGAGGCAGACTAAAAATACCCTTGAACCTTGACTTGTAATTGCAAGCACCCAGGAATTACTGTTTCAGAATACAAGAAAATATAACTTTATGCGTGGGTGTTTTGTGTCAGAAAACAAAGTGGTTTGTATTTTTTGCAATAAAAATTTTTTAAGTTATTTTAAATGTAGTGACCATGATACTTACTTACAAATGTGTAAAAAGGATTAGTCAAAATTGACTTCATTATCCTACCATGTTTTTTTCCCTCAGATTTGAACAAACATTTGTGAAATAAATTTTATGTGTTCTGAGTCACATATGCTGTGTTCACCACCCAAATCTCTTAGTTAAAACTAGGCTTAATTTAGTATCTTTACATATTGCCTATTATCATTCAGGTATCTTTTTATAAAAGGTATTGCTTGATCAGTTGCTATTTAGGTACTCTGAGATGAATCTACTTAGAGTTAAACATATCCCTATTTTCTTGTGCCTGATAGATTTTCTGTGAGCAGTTATTACAAAGAGTATTTAAGTGCTTTAAATTAAATTTAAGAGTATGTCAGTGGTGGAAACATCAAAGCTGGACAAATAATTTCTACTTACCAGTTACAACATCAGATACCTACTTCTGTCCAAACAAGAGGTATGTTACGATAGTAGTCAGATTATTACTTCTCAGGTAGGCACCTGGAATGCATGTGTGGGTAGGCGTGTTTCTCTTTGGTAATATTTTGGCTAGAATACAATAATACATTAAAATGCTAATGTTTAAAAACCATAAATGGAATAAAATAGGCAATTCAGTAATTTTCGATTATTTTAAAAATTTAAATCTGAGCCCTCGGTGCAGGGACTATTCATAATCTTGTAATCTAAAAATCAGACCAGTGGCAGATTGATTTTGTTAATCCTTGAAAGGGGAATATTGTTCATTGTTTTCATCACCGTACCCTACCATATCCTTGTAAAATTTCCAGGACTGCTCCTCAAGCTTCCTTGACTACTTTACCTGCCTCTGCTACTTAGCAGCTGACTGTGGGACACCAAGTTACTACCACTCAGTTTGAAATGTTAGACTTGGCTAGGTGATCTCCACATCTTGTTTCTTGTACCTTCAAAATTCTATAATACTTTGGAGCTGACTTATGTGCTGTTGTCCACTCTGCCACATACATGACTTAGTATTTAATTATGCATTCTTTTGCTTTGTGCCAGTTATTTTACGTTATTTGCCTTCTCTCCCCAATTAAGTCGAAGACTGATTTTATTTATCTTTGTCTTATTCCTTGCTCATGAATATTGATTGATTGTCACAGAAAAAGGTATTAATTAGTGGCATCACCACCTCATAGAGGTAGCTGTTTCCATACCTGTGGCAGTCTTTGGCAAAGTCCTTCAGTGGAGTTTCCATAAGGTATCAATAGGGAGATTCATTTGGTCTGTCCCTGGGTGCTCTGATTGTTTGATGCATATATAAATAGCACTTATGGAGTCAGCTCACTTTTCAAATATTTTGAAACTAGTGATAATTATAATAAGATGCAGTGAGTGCCTAATGCAGTGTTGTAAATGGTGTAGTCATTCAAACCCCAGAGGGCCTGAGTTTGAATTGCAGCTGGATGACCAGGAGCCAGTTATTTAACTTCTGTGCTTCACTTTTAGTTTCGGTAGGATGGAGATAATCATACCACCTCATCCAGTTGATGTGAGGATTAAATGAGATAATATATATGAAGAACTTAGATTCCTTCTTGACACATAGCAGTTATTCAGTGAATGCCAGCTATCTTTACCCCCATACAGAATACCCCCCCACCATTAATCCATAGGACAAGACAATTGAAGGCCTAGAGTAAGAAAGACCACCAAGTTTTGTTTGATTAGATGTAACACTCCTAGTCCTATAATTACCTTATTTTACTCTCCCCCTTCAAGTGGATGCTACAAAAATACACCAAAAAAAGCAGGAAAAAGTACCCATAGTCCCATCACTCAAAGAAAACATCAGCTTAAAATGTGCAGTATTTTAAAGGTAGTACTAACATAACATTTTGATTACTTTTTTATTTAAAAATTTTTAGCATGAGCATTTTCGTAGAGTTTTAAAACGTCATCTTTAATGTGTGTATCATTTTCTCAATATTCTATTATATGAGTAGACCATAATTTACTTAACCTGTTGCATAGCTTTAGGCTGCAGCTAGGTCTCTAGGTCACTAGTGCTGCAGCGCTGCTTTTGTACATACTTTTTGTACCCAATATGTTATTTTCAATGAAATTTGTTAATCTGTATGTACTTTTTGGAGGAGGAACAGAAATGACAAAGTAGTATATAGATGTTGCCTTATAATCCTGGATATTTTAGACCCCAAGGGCCTCCTAGATAAGCTACACTGGAGGAGAGAGGAGATAATTTTAAAGGAGATAATTGTTTGAGTCACTGAACAACTATGCGACAGAAAGGCAAATATTTAAGCGTCATCAGAAGGCTGGAGGACATGAGCTGCCTTCCCCATTCCCAGAGTGTTGTAACTGGTAGGAATGAGTACTGGATCAGTGTGGTGGCCTCCTGTGGGGGAAGTTCTAGCTTTTCAGATCATCCAGATAGAACACTAGCACAAAGTAGGTGAGAGTTTATTATGCACATAACGTGCTTGTAGTACAAACAGAATAAACCCAGATCTGTTAACAGTTTTAGTTCGCCACTGTTGTGAAAATACAAGGCTTCAGTATTCTAAATATCGGGATACTTAGTTTTGGCGCTTGGGCTTTCTACTACCTCTGAATCAAGCTAATTAGGAAAAAAAAAAAAAAACAGGATAAAAGATACATGGATGGAATTTTTTGGTTGAATCTGCATCAAGTATGGACACATGTGCATTTAAAAAATATAATCAGTAATTCCAGATGGATGTGAAGCAAAGTTAAGAACAAAAGAGCGAAATAGAAAGCAAAAGCACACTCTAGCATTGTTACCTTCTTGGATGTGGTCAGATTC